TGAACATGGCAGCAGACAGCAAGAAGCCTCCCAAATCTCCAGATGCATTTGAGATATCAAAAAAGTACTCCAGGGTGTTGTTCAGCATGGGGGTGAGTAGAAAATGAAGGCTAATCATGTTTTGGGTGTACTATTCCTTTAAAGAGGTTTTTCAGCCAGTGGGAAAGGGATATAAGAGTAAAGTTTATGTACTATTTCTGAAATGTTAAAGATGTGTTCGTTTATCATCAGTTGCTAGTTTTATTGAACTTGTAACTGATTTATTTTCCTTTTAGGTACATCATCTGTGGTTGCTGTGCATTCCACAGCTCAACGAGTAATAAGGACTAAAGCCCACGATGGGTTGCCAAATGCTGTTGGCTCCGAGTGCAAGAACCCGTTCAAAATGGTGATGGCGGCCGGACAGCAGCAGCAGAGGTTGTATCCACATCAGGAGGCTAGTGGAGCCCCGCAGTCTGAGCTTTACTCTGGATACCCCCGGGCTCAGAGGCTACAGAGCGGGGATCCTGTAACTAAATCTCCATATCGCGCCGTGTATGGAGGCATGTTGAGCCCATCTTCCTCCAGTGCTAAACTGTATGGAGATGGCTCTCAGTCTCCCAATACAGAGACTCTGGGCAGCCCTGAGGGCTTTCAAAGGACCAATCCTTGTGGATTTCCAGGAGCCGGTAGTCCCAGTTCAGCAGCCATCCTTGGGAACACTAGAACTCCTCTTTCCCCACCCAGTGTAATGCTTCACGGCTCTCCTGCAGGCCAGTCATCCTGTGCTATGACAGGAAGGACTAGCACGCCCCTCTCCCCTACGGCCACGGCCAAAAGCCCCGTCATGAACATGAACATGCCGCGGGGGAACTTCCCACCCGGCATGGATCTGCCAAGAGCAGCGTTTCATCATAAATCTCAGCCCCCTGTGCATCCTGTACCTCCCCCGCCATCCATACCACCACCCTGTGCTCTTCAGAAAAGGCAGTTGGGCTCTGAAAAGGACCCCCTAGGCATTCTGGATCCCATCCCTAGCAAACCAGTTAGCCAGCCCCCAACCCATGCCCCCAACCCTTCCAACTTCCAACCCAATATCCACTCTCAGGTACAAATGATGAATGTAAACATCCCCCCTCCTGCCATTGTTCCTCTGCCAAGCAACTTGCCTTTACCCACAGTCAAGCCTGGACCTGTGGGCCATGGTGGCAATTTGCAAAGGACTCAACAGAGCGGTCCTTCGTCCTCGATGCCCCCCTCCCCTGTGACTTCCCCCGTTCACATGACTGGGCCAGCTCTAGGGAGAATGGAGGCCTCACCTCATCGCTCGCGTTCCTCCTCCACCTCCTCAGAACATGGAAGCTTTATAATGCCATCTGGTCACCAAGCCCCATGTCCCACCATGAAGGTTCCCCCGCGTTCTCCCAGGTCGGCGATGGGGTCTCCCCGGCCGGCGATGCCCTCAAGCCCCTCCACCAACAAAACCGATCCTCTGCACCAGTATAAAGACTCCCAGCTGCTGCCCGGAATGGGAAACCCAGTGGGCACCCATCAGCACAGCAACTCCATGTATTCGCCCACCTCTTCCTCCTCTTTATCCTCTCTGGCAACTTCCAGCGCTTCCCAGAAGGGCCACCCCGGACTCCTTGGGATGCCCCTCAACCAGATTCTGAACCAACAGAACGCCGCTTCCTTCCCAGCCAGCAGCCTCCTCTCAGCCGCAGCCAAAGCACAGCTAGCAAATCAAAACAAACTTGGCGCTGGTGGCAACAGCACTCCTGGCATGGCCGCTGGCGGTGCGGTCGGCATGCCGGCCATTGGGGCAGCCAGTGGAGGGAACGGTGGGGGCGTCGGCCCTCGAAGCGTGGAGGGACACAGCACTTTAAATCCCATGCTCCCGCCAAACTCCACCATGCTGCTAAACACTCCAGAAGGTCAGAGCGGCCGGGCAGCGCTTAGAGACAAACTCATGTCCCAGCAGAGGGATCCCAATCGGAAACGGAAGCAGTCGTCTGGCAGCGCTGGGAACCATGACGGCGGTAACAACATGGTCTTCAGCATGCTCAACAAGCAGGGCATGGGAGGACCCCACATGCAGGCGCCCAGCGCTACGGAGCAACTGCGAAAGGTGGGGCGGATGGGAAACCTGCACCCCAACGCCTCCATGGCTCAGCTGCTGCAGTCCATGAGCTGCCACAGTTCCCACAACATGGCAGGAAACAGCCATCGCCCAGGGCTCAGCCCCGGTTCACATGGAGCGGCGCAGCTTCACTACAACGACACAGCGGGGATGCTCCCTGGTGGCCCTCAGCAGAACCTGCTGGTCCAGCAGAGACTGCGGCCTCCAGGGGATCCCATTCAGAACTGCCAGAACCTGGACCCCTCTGCCGGCCACCTGGTCCCCCGTCAAGGCCAGTTCCCCGACATGATGGCTCAGATGCAGGCGCAGTCCATGAACAGCTGTGGGCCAATAGGACCAGGCGGCGGACCGATCGGACCTGACGGCTTACCGCTGGTACGCCCCAACACTAACCCCCCACCGCTGTCCCATCCAGGCCCACACCCCTCACAGCTCCACAGTATGAGGAGGACTAATATTGTGCAGCATGGAGGGGGCGACGGAGGCTGCAACCAGTCGGTTTCTGACTCAGGTGAGAATTCTGGGCAGTGGAAATTTCTTACCTGCTTGAATGATGATCTAATGTTCAGAGGCTGTCACTGCCTGTTCAAAGAGCTGCACTTTTGGCTGACTGATGGAAATTTTGGAGGAAAGAAAAGTGCGTTGGAAAAAAATAAGAAGTTTGAGTTAATGGTTGCACTTCTGACATAATTTGATGTCGATTCAATATATCTTTAGGATCCCAGTTAGTTAGATAAACCGTTTCCCTTTTTGGTCGGAGGATGAGATTATGAGTTTAGTTTAGCAAAAATAAACATTTTGAAAGGATATTAATGTTGATGTCAATAATATGGACCACTACGATGGTAAGGGTTGTGATGAACAGTTTCTACTAAAAGTTAGGCAGCATCATTTTTTACAGCCTTAAAAGAAACCGAACTTTAAATGTTACTTCAACGCAGACAGTAAAGAAACTTTGGGCTGAGAAATAAAAAGTCGTTGATCATCTGCATAAAGCAAATTTTTGAGTTCCTGCTCACAACTTTAGAGAAATGTAACCAGAGCTTTGACGATTAGATCAAATAACGGCACTCTAAAGGCCAATTTATGCTTCAGACGCATAGCCTCTGCAGCCGTCAAATCTGTCTGTGTGGGCGACCACGCCCCCCGCGCAGAGGTTCTGTAACCGTCGTCGTCCACCTAAAAAGAATTTTCCCAACTACGCGTTTGATGGCTGCATACCTGTGCAGACCTCGAGCGGAAGTCCACAGCTGTGATTGGTCCTTGGTATGCCTTTCCGCGTGTCTTTGTGGTCGTCCTTCTCTATACGGAGCCGGTGCGCACCATTTTTAAAAACAGAGGAACAACTACAATGGAAAACTACCAAGAAAGGTTAATTGGTCTTTTTGCCAACTCCATCAACAGAACCTGTTCCTCTTCAATGTCTAGCAACTCTAGATCCATCTCCATGATCGTAATTACTTGCAGATGCGCCATTGTTTTTTTTTGGAAGATAATCACTCTCGCGAGTTCTAGAAATTCTAGACCTACGGTGAAGAAGCATACCAGCAAAACTGGTTCGCGACCAGACCCGAGGCCCTTAAGGGTCACACCTGTTGTTAAAATGGAAACACTTTTTATTTTATTGATCAGATATACCCAGGAATTAAGTTAATGATTTTGATCAAAAAGACCAAGTTTAGGCAACACTACATATATCTGCAATAAAGAGCTAAAAGCTCTCTGTGTCGATCGGTTTTTTTTATGAATACTTACTTGGTGAGTTTTGGTACTGAAGAGAAATGAATGGAGTGAAACGCTCTTTGGCCTTCTCAAACAGTAAACCATCTGGATGTACACAGAACAGAAACTGAAAAACTATTAAAAATACAAGGATTTAATGACAAAGTACTTAAAATGTCAATTAAATTAGTAAAAAAAATTGATATTAGGCTATTTTTTTTATCCAGCTACACCTAGTAAGAACAAAAACAGTTTGAAAAACTAAGAAACTGAAGCAACATATTGGCAATATCTGTGTATATGGATGCATTGGAGCCAAGTTTGTTTTGAGGAGTTGGGAATGAAGCTAAATTAACCCTGAAAGCTAAAAAAAGAACAGTTCCTGAGTTTTCAAGCAGCTATTTCGCAATCCAAAGCAGGAGGGAAGATAAAACATTATTTTAATGAGCACTTGCTGTATAAAGAAGTATTTTTTAGACAACCGAATCTTAATATCACATAATATTTAAATTCCTAATATTAATGTATTTGCCCCGTTAGCTATGCTATCCCTGCCCACCATCGTTGCGTCGACCTCCCTCCTTTTTTCCTTCTGATAAGCTGCTGGCATGATGAAGCTGTTTTCTATGCTTGTGAGTGAAGTTAAACCAAAGCAATTGGGTGATGGGGCCCCAAGTCAAGATGATCTGGCTCCTCCAGTTTCTCAGAGCTAACCAGTGGGGCCCCTCATCTCTGGCCGCCTGCTAATTGTCAGTCAGCCAGTGTTTCTCTTTGTTTTATTTCTATTCTAACATCAGTCGATGGCGTAAGAAGATGGAAATAGGATCTGCATCACGCTTTAAGGGAAGCAACCCAGATAGGGAGCTGTAAAGAGCTTCTCCCATAAAGCAGGTCGCTATAGTAACGATAGACCCTGAATAGAGACCAGAGCGAAGCCTTTGATGACAGTTTAGGCCGGTGTGCGTGTTTGTGTAGGTCTGCTAGTACATTAGAGTGTGCTTCTGTTGTTTTCTATGCTGGTGCTTGACAGGCAGTGGGACTGTATTTGTGTGATACAGTCACCCCCACCTCCCTTCTTGCAGTTGGACCGGACTCTTTTTATGTATTCGATTTGCGTCCTGGCGTTTATTATAGAAAGATGGCCGAGGTCTGCTGCAGGCCCCCCTGTTCTTATCACAAGCCGTTCTGTATTTCTGCCACATGAATTCATTGAAATTCAGGCTTGTTGGTGGAGCGTGGTGTTTCTCATCTCTGGGGATTTTTAACATTTCATCATCCTCATTGTGACGGACGAAACGGATGTTTGAGGTTGAATTAAATCAGTTGTCAGGGAAGCTTTTAGACCCACCAATGAAACATACTCAACAGTTTTAAACACCTTCAAACCACTGTTTTAAATTAATGTTCCAAATGTGAAATTAAGATTTAAGATTCAAGAAACCTTTTGTGTTTTTTTTAGTAGTAAAGTAAAAGAAAAACACAGTAATGCATTTTTTTTTTAATGAAACAATACCAGATTTGCCATTTAATTTGCTATAAATGATTTGCTCCTTTCAAAGATGTTTCCATCAAACAAATTTAGCTATCAAAGGTAATATTAGGACAATAATAGCTGATATCTTAGGAGGATTTTTATTTCTTAAGCCTGAAGCTCTATATTCCAAAAAGTGTACATACACTTCATAAGACCTTTCTCAACTTGTACTAGGGGTGTAAATCACACCCATCATGGCGATT